CCCTCACATCATTCACCCGTCCTAGACCGCTGTCATCAAGCGCCGTAAATTTAAAATTGTTGATACCATTAACGACACTCTTGACATCATGGATTGGGCCTCCTACTCCCGCACTCCCCTTCTCGCTCTTACGGTCGACTTCCGCAAGGCATACGACCTTGTCGACCGAACTTTTCTCTTGCAATCCCTCTCCCACCTGGGCCTACCCTCTCCATTATCGACTGGGTTCGCCTCATGCATTCTGGCACCTCCACGTGCATTGCCGTCAACAACCTTGCGGGCCCGCTCTTCCCTGTCCGCACTGGTGTTCGTCAAGGCTGCCCCTTGGCCCCCCTCCTCTTTGTCTGCGTCATTGAGATTTTCCATAGACACATGTCCCTATACCTGCCAGGATTTCCCCTGTCTCCCTGTCTCGCCGTCTTATGGCCTGTTACGCGGATGATGTAACAATTTTTCTCTCGTCTAATGATAAACTCAGTTCGGCAGTTGCTCACCTCCTGACTTTCGCCTCAGTTTCTGGCGAATCCCCTAATTGGAACAAATGCTCCATTATCCCCTTCAACATCTCCTCGTCACTTCTCTCTAATGCCGGGCCTATTCCCATTCGTGCTCCCAATGAGGCGGAACGCATCCTCGGGATCTTCGTTGAGAAAGACAACCCCGGCGCCACTACCTGGAATACAACCCTCGCCAGAGTCCAACGCTCCTCCAGATACCCCGCTTCCTTGCGGGCTAACGGCCACGTGTCGTAAATCTCTCGCGTCGGTCTTCCTGAATTCTACCCTCTCTTTTCCCGGTCGTTTCCAACCTGCTCCGCCTGACACCCTTACACGCCTCGACACCACTGTTGGTACTTCTTATCCTCCTCCCGCTACAAGGATTCCGGCCTCGCGGTTCGCCTCATTCCCCGCCGAATTCCTTTAACTAACCCCCGTCCCCCCGTGACGGGGGACTCGGCGCCATTGCGCCCTCTACACAGATCCGCGCTCTCTCCATCCAACGCCGCTTCGACGTTTTGGGGTTTCCCCCTCTGAGGAAGTGGCTAGGAACGTCGTCGCCCTCCCTTTCGGTACTCATGCTTTCCTATCTCACCCAGCAATTCTCCAGCCTAAGGTTCTGTCCCCGTCCATCCCCCAACGTGCGCTCGCAGAACTCCGCGCCTTTCTGTCTATGTCACCCACTATCCCCCCCCCACGAATGACGCCTTTGTGCCTTCTCGCCGAACCGACGGCCTTCAACTGCTTTATCCTCAAACCCAATGGAAAACCCTTCGGCCTTATCCGTCGTGAAAGTTTCTCCTTACACAGCAAGTCCGCCTTGGCGACATCTGTAATGCCACCTACAATGGCTTGGAACCCATCTCTCCGAAGGAGTTCGCAGTTAAGTTCCCGCCATCTCGTTTCCAATCCGGCCGTCGAGTCTTGCGCGAACTCGTCGCGGCCATCCCCCCTTCCTGGTCGGCAGCACTCCGGGCCCCCACCACCGCTGCGGCATCACCTGGGGACTGGCTCATCCTCTCTCAGGAACTTCACTCCACTCCTACGCTAGCTCTACATGTCTCTTCATTTACCCCGCCGCACACTGTTTCGGTGACCTTCTTTCGAATCCTCCCACACCGTCTCATAGACCGCACCCCCATTGGCTCTAGCACTGTTCACATTAAGAACGTTGCAGCTGTGCATACCTATGACCGTTGGGTTGCAGGGCCGTTTCATACAGGTGCAGGGCTAGGCGCACGGCTGAGCTTCTTCACGACGGGCTTCCCAGATCTTTCCTCCATCCGCCGTCTTCTCTACTCACAACAGCCGCTAGATCATGAGCTTCGTTAGACACGCGCTCTCACATCCTCTCCTCCACCTATCTTTCCTAACCTCACCCATGACTTTCTCCGGAACAACCTAGCCTACAGCGAGACCTCCTTTTTCGCCTCTACACCCGCACCCTTCCTTCGGGCGCTCGATTCCAATTTGCCATTGATAGAGGACGGTGCTCTCTTTGCGCATCTGGAGACACAGAGACCATCTCCCACATCTTCTTCCGCTATGGTATCGCTCCCGCTATTATATCTGCGCTGGGCTCGGTTGCCCGCCGTCATCTTGGTTGCTCGCCCCCTGAAGAGCTTCTCCTTTTTCCTCTCCGTGCGAGAGTTGGACAATGCGCTCCCTGGAGTCTCCTCGTCGGTGCAGCTGCCAGGGGATTTGGAATGCGAGATGTGAAAGAAAGTTTCACGACACGTCTGCCACCAAGTTTGAAGTGCTTCAACTAATCCTCGCACAATTTCTTCTCGCTTTCAAGATCTTTCTCTGGAGAAGGTCCTCTCAATCCGCTAAGAAACAACAACGTTCCGCCTCCCGCATCAAGATCGCCACTCGTCTCCGTTTCATCTGTTCTGACGACACAGGAGTCCCCTCCATCCACCCTGCCCTTCGTGCCTCGTGGCTTCTTGGCAACCCCTTCCGTCCACCATAGATGCTTTCACCATCTTAGAGCGATTCCCCTGATTGCCGGGGATATCCCCCTTTGGGGATAGGGGAATAACGTGTTGTGACGTACTCCTTATAGGCTGTTGGTCATTTGGCCATATTCCCTGCTTGCTCTATGTATGTTTGTATACAGGTTACGACCTTAATATAACCTTATAACCTTATCTGTCCACGACCCGCTTTCACTCGTGTGCTCAGCGTTTGTCATTTTCACAAAGCACCCTCCGTTTCAAGCCAGTCGATACAAGAAACACGGAGCTGATCGAGGCGTGCGTCTCGAAGTCTCCCGATACGACTGGACATGGCTCAATCTTGACCAATGTTGCGTGCGTGGTGAGGACGCGGCTCCAGAATAGCGGTTCGGCAACCATCCCCATGCGCATACGGACGCCCTCCACACGATCCCCCCCCCCCCCCCCCCCCCCCCCCCCCCCCCCCCCCCCCCCCCCCCCCCCCCCCCCCCCCCCCCCCCCCCCCCAATCAAACCTTGCATCGCATGACAGACTGTTTTCGGTTTTTACACCCTGTTTCTCGATGTTTGAACAATCGGGAGCCCGGCTACAGTGCGCACGTGTGCTTGGATTCAGCGGGCTGGTGCTTGCAACCGAAATGCACTTCAGGTGAACGGTAGACAACGGTTTATGAAAAAAACGTGCTTTTGAGTTCGGTTTCGTACGGCAAAAGTGCTTATACGGTATGTTCTGGGACCAATTTGGACGCATTGATGTCAGTACAACCGGCTTATCGATATGGCGAATGTCAGTGTGGCGCGAAACAGGGTGTAGTCCAGAAGAGTGACGTATTTACACCACACAACACCGCACCGCACTATACGTACCGTACCAAGCCGTGTCTAACCGTAGTAGAAAGTGCTGACCCATGAAAGTTTTGACTGAGGTAACCAATTTACCATCCAACCCCATCGTTCTATCCAACCAAGCAAAAGTGAAGTGATACTACGCAAGACATTTCGGAGCGCATACGTCAATCTCGCGCTTCGAGGGAGTTCCTCCCACCCCGTCCCGAGACCTGTGCACCTGTTTCCTTGTATAAAAAGCGCTCGTTCTGTCCGGCTTCACGTAACCCAAGCAAACAGTAATTACTTCCGCACTATTGCCATTGAGTCACGCCATGGCGCTTGCTAGACGCTGTACGCTCTTTCTTCTCCTCGTTCTTGGTTTAGCCTACATTGCAAAGGCAGCCATTGCTCCCACGGCCACAGCAGGCCCCAAGTGCAAGAACGCGTTCCCTCAAAGGCCTCTGTGCAAGTTCGTGGACAGCTTGACCACGCGCGTGATTCCCACTCTCGATGGCACCAAGCCGCTCACAATCGGCGCCTATCAAATATACCAGGTACCTTTCGCACCCGCTCCTTCCAGCAACAACTTGTGGTTGAAGCGCGTCACCCACGCACGCTATTCCCAAAGGTCTGGCTCTTTTCGAGGCGCGAACTCGCAATGCGCCTCTGCATCTAACCTAGTCGATTCCCTTCGAAAATCTTGTGCGCATGGCAGAAATTCCATCGCGATCTGCCGGCGACGAAGCAGTACGCGTACGGCACGAGTCAGAAGACGGCGTCGTACCCCGGCCCCACCATCGTGGCCAAGGTGGGCATCGACACGACGGTGACGTGGGAGAACCATCTGCCTCGACAACACGCACATGTTCACCGTCGACCCCACGCTCATCATGGGCTACAAGTACCCCAAGCGGGGCATCCCCATGGGTAAGACTCTTATCCGAGCGCTCCGAGCACCTCGGAGCGCTCTTTACCCTACCATAATTTTCCTTTGGTATCTTGGGCTCTCGGCTCGAGAGCGGCACTCCGCTCGTTGCAATCGCGTGCGAAACACTCAGTCTCCTCGCCACCGATGTTAAATGCCATGACCATGCAGTTGCTCACAGGCACGGTGGTAGTCAGCAGAGCTTCTACGACGGGCACCCTTTCGCGTGGATCACACAGTACGGCGAGAAAGGCCCCACGTACGCGACGAACGTGTACAAGTACGTGAACGACGAGGCGTCCACCATCTGGTACCACGACCACATGGCCGGCTTGACGCGCCTCAACGTCGCTGCCGGCCTGGCGGGGCTGTACATTATCACGGACCCCGAGGTTGAGTCCAAGTTCACCTGGCTGCCGCCCGCCTCCCGCACCGTGCCGCTCGCCATCGCGGATCGCCTCTTCTTCGCGAACGGGTCGGTGAACTACCCGAACGTGGGGATCGTGCCGAACGTGCATCCCAACTGGATTCCCGAGTACCTCGGCGACACCAACATGGTTAACGGCGTGGTACGTTGCTCTGCTAGACACACGATCATCGCCCTTACCGGGATAATTTGCGCGACGTGCGATCATTACCATAGGAGCTCGGGTGTGATGCAGTTTCATGCGTTTTCTGTTGGTCGCGCAGGTTTGGCCGTACCTCAAGGTCCGGCCTGCGATGTACCGGTTCAAGATGCTGGGTGCGGCGAACGCGCGTTTCTACAATCTGCAGTTCGTTTGCGCGCAGCGCGGCGACTACCCCAACTTCGTGCCACCGCTCAGGGGCAAGGTTCTCGATATAATCAGCGTAAGTACTTATTAAGAGCTCCCTCGACATATTATGGTTTACAGCTCTCAAGCAACAGCGGTTCACAAACCGATAACACTATCTGATTTACGCGCAGATTGCCACCGACGGCGGTTACTTGCCAAAGCCGGTGTACTCCAAGTCACTGCTGCTGGTTCCCGGTGCTCGCCAGGATGTGCTCGTTGATTTCTCCAACCTGCCCGACACGTGCAAGGACGTGATTCTCCAAAATCTTGCTGCCGCGCCCTTCCCCGCTGGTGTGACGGCTGACCGCGACACGGGGCTTGTAATGCGCTTCGTGATCACCAATCGCAAGCGCTTTCCCGCGCCGAAGATCCCCAGCTCCATCTCGGTACGCGCGCATAACGATAGGAACCCGGACCTCCCAACTTGCAAAGCCAATTTTAGTGTTGCAAATCAGTCGGAAGTCCCCAGCTCCATCTGGTTACGCGCTTGTCGTGACAAAATCCCTGGTGCAAGCCATCGACTCCGACTCGGAGTCGTTACAAGCCTCCGCAATACCACGATTTCCACGTGTGTCCCCTTTCCCGCATTGTTGAACAGTACTTGCCTCCAATCAACTACAAGAACATCCAGAAGGTTCGCTGGCACCGCCTGGTGGAGGAGATGGATCCCAAGACGAACCTGCCCGTCCGCGTCACCATCGACAACCTCGGGTTTGCCGACCCCATCAGGGACTACCCCAAGCAGGTGAGTGCCACGTCGCTCTTCCCAATCATACGATTCAGAACCAGTGCAGCTATGTAAAGCTTCCTGCCGGTCCGCACCCCACCCCAACACACCCCAACCCCGCCCCACCTCACCCGTCCGTATTTTCTTTCCCCGGCAGGGCACGAACGAGCTGTGGCATATCATTAACTTGTCGGCCGATGCGCACCCCATGCACTTCCATCTCGTGGACCACCGCCCCGTGTCGCGCCGCCCCTTTGACGTCGCGGCGTTCCAGGCTGGCAAGTGCGCGTTCCGCGGCAAGAAGCTGCCCACCTGCTGGACTGGACCGAGGCTTCGGATCGATCCCACTGAGGACGGTTTAAAGGACACCACAACCGCGTACCCCGGTCAGGTGCTGACGCTTTGGTTCGGCTGGCACGATGGCAATGGCAAGCCTTTCCCGTTTGACGTGACCGTTGGCCCGGGCTACGTGTACCATTGCCACATGCTGGATCACGAGGATAATGACATGATGCGGCCGTTCAAGGTGATCAAGTAAGCGCCAGAAATACCGTTGTTGGTTCTAACTCATTGATGAGCTGCGGTTCTAGGACTTCGCTTGATTATGTTTCACGAGACTAGATGCATTAGTGTAGCAAGTTTAGAATAGGACTAGGATTGATTGTGCGTCACGAGAGAAGTTGCACTAGTAGGACAGGTTGCATGTTTTAGCACCTGTGTCTCTGGAATGTGTTTTCTGCCTATGCCTAGGGGAGCTAGAGCAGCTGGGACTCCTGGCAAAGTCTGGATCAGTAGGGTGATGTATCCTTTTGGTAATAAGGACAGTAAGCATTTCCTATTGGAGAAATACAAGGCACTTCCTTCGGAGAAGAGGATATACGAATAACTTACACTGCAATGCCGTGTTAACAATGTAGCAACACAATGGTTGTTTAAACATTTCACGTATAAGCAGAGAGGTGGTGCAACCTAAAAAATGCTAACTGAAAAGTGCTATTTTTCAGTGTTGCACCAGGACTCATCCCGTTTTTGCAGATCTACACATTAGCGGAGTGTACAGTTTGCAATATCAGTACTAATGGAGTTACTACAATAGGGAAAATATGCCACAAGTAACCAACTTCGGACTCGATAACGTGAATGGCTGGAAAAAAAACGCGTACGGTCACTGTATCGGGTTTTCTGACGGGTTTGGTAAGCGGGGTCACAGATTCAGTCACTAACAACAGGTAAAAAAATCACGCGAATGGTCACACATGTAACTCCTGCCAAAAAAACTTGAAACTCAACAAAATTCCCGCTCGCGTCCAACCAATCTGCGAACTTGTTGAAAAACTAAAACCCAATCGGAATCGGATGCGGTTTGGGAACGGATCAACCCTAAACACCTGGCAAGCTACGTGTTTAGGGTTGACCATCCGAAAATGCATCCAGGCTCTTTTTGGGTTTCATTTTGTTTTGGCAAGAGTTTCATCTGTGACCATTCGCGTTTTTTTTTTACCAGTTGATTGTGACTGATTCCGCGAAACGCTTTATCAGTCGCGTGAAAACACCCTTTGCAGTGACCGTACCCTTTATTGTTTTAACAAAAATGTTTTTAGAGTCCCATTATGGTTACAAATGGTATATTCTCCCTATTACGATATGTCCACAACAACAGAGGCACGGCAAATTGGCGGGAACACGTTGTCAGCTCCGTCGCACAGAGAAATGCTCCCACCTGTTTTTTCTCCCTCGAGAATTGTGACCGACCAGATTTGGCCCCCAGAGATGTCCACATCACATATTATTTTGTCTAATTTCCGGTCGCCGTTCTTCCAAGATTGCAGGTGACGCTCCAGCCATCTGAGATTGTACAGACTTTCCTGGTATAGATCTACGTGGATTCGTCACCTGCTGTACCAGCGTGCTCTCGGCTGGTTTTTTCTGAGCTAGTGCGATCCAAAATGGCAGATTTTGTGGAGGAGCCTCGTGTGGTGCAGTCTGAGAACCACGGATGGCAGAAGGTGACTAATGTTAAGAAGCAGCGTCGCCAGGAACAGAAAGACTCAAAGAAGCCGTCAGCTGCAGGAAAATCCGCAGGTGGGAAAGGGTCGATCGGCCAATCCGTGTTTTCTTCGCTGGAGGATGAATCTAAGCAGAGGAGAGCGAGGATCGAAGCTCGCGCAGCAGCTGCTGCAGCAGCTGAGCGGGAAGCGGAGCGTGCAGAGTACGACGCTGACGATGACGATGATGATGATGAGGAGAGGGAAGCCAAGGCCCCAGCAGCAGCAGAGCCTAAGAAGCCTAAGAAACCTAAGAAGCCCAAAGTTACCGTTCTGGAGGCAGCGACAGCGATCAAAGTGGACGAATTGTCCGCGTTCCTTGTCGAGATCTCGGTGCGTGCCGACATTTCTAACCTATTTCGGCGGCTGACGTCATTTTATTGCTTTGAATCTGTTAACTTCGGGGACATCGGCCGGAATATGCTAAAAAAATTCGCGTTCCAAAATGAATGTTCACAACGTTTACTCGTTTGCGGATCGAACTCCTCACCCTCCGGTGCTCAATGTGTGTCGCTGCTGCTCTTTTTGTCCATCAACTCTCTGTCTCCTTGCCTGCGTTCAGGAATCCTTCGCAGGCATGCCGGATGTGCAGCTGATGCGTTGTGCGGATTTCTTCGCACGAGCCTTCAGCGCGGTGCTTCCATCGCAGCTCAACATCCCCAAGATCATCCGAGATTCCAGCTTGGCCAAAGCCCTTGACGTGAGTCGCTCCACTATATCCCTCTCTTTCACGCAGATCTGACTACGCGGTTGCGATCAGTACATGTTTCGTTTTCGCCTAAAGTCGAATTAGGCCGCGTTGAAATGGCTTCACTCTCGATCTAAGCCTTACCTTTCGTTCCCTTCCCTGCAGTTACCTTGGAATGACATTCCCGAGGAGGTTCGCACAACCGCCTCTGAATGGCTGGCGGAGCGGCCTGCGGACGCGCTGGCGAAGTTTCTGGTTACCCTAGTGCGATCGGCGCTCGAGGATGTGCTGCCAGTCGGCAAGGTGGCCAAGGGAACCGCCGCACAGCCGCTGACGCCGCCCAAGGCCAAGGTGCGACTTTACGACAGGCTCCTTTGTTCTCCCCGTTTCCTGAGATTGTAGTCAAATTGTGCCTGGAAACATGAAATAAGTCATTGTTTTTAATCTCGTCCGGAAGAAGCGAACTAGGACCACAAAAGAACAACCAGAAAGTGGAAGACTTGCTTATTGAGAACCTCACTTCGCTAATTCTACCAAAGAAAGAGGTCACAAAGAACCATACCATTCATACACTGGGTCTGAATTTACTGCAGGTGGGCATGCTGGTGCTGCTGGTGCTGCTGCTGCGGCGACGGCCGGACGTGATGCTACAGGCGGCCGACTCCATCCGCACGGACCCTGGCTGCCTCGGCCAGGACAGGCTGCCCGTGCTCGCCTGGATGTACGGCCAGGTGCGTCCTCCCCCTTCCTGCTTTCCTCCCTCCCTCCCTTCTTGCCCGTCCTCGCTGACTGCCCTCATTCTGTCCATGGTGCTGGTCAGCTGCTATAGATGTACAATCCAGCTCTGTGACCTCTCTGATTTATCATTTTTATTTCACTCATACACCCCTCGCCACTTCACAACTCCCCCCCCTCCAACCCCAACCTCCGGTGTATAATTGCCACGTGGCTGCCAGGTGGCAGTGGTGGATCTGGTATCGGGCATGGCGCTGCTGGTCAGCAACCTCATGCCCTTCACATCGGGCAAGCAGGGCTCGCCTGTGGGCCGCGACGTCACTCTCACCTACTTCCAAACGTGAGTATCCCCATCGTCTGGTCCCTTCCCTTTGGCCTTTTCACCAATATGTTGCCCGTTTTCACCAATATGTTGCCCGTTTTACTTAAAGTAATGAGGTCACTGGTACTTCCAGCTGGAAAAAAAATCCCCATCGTCCCTTTCCCCCCTCCCTACCCCAGCGTGCTGCTGCGCGGCTCCGAGTGAAACGCGAGAGAGGTGCTGCTGAACGCGGCGCTCGTTTCTGAGGCGCCTCAGTAACATCTTTCCCCCCCACCTCCATCCCTTCCCCTCTACCATTTCCCCCCTTTTCCCCACTCTCCCCCCCCCAGCGTGCTGCTGCGCGGCAACGAGCGCAAGGCGAGGGCGGTGCTGCTGAACGGGGCGTTCCGCAAGGGCGAGCGGCTGGTGCCCTACTCCACGCTCGACCAGTTCCTGCGCCTCGCCTTCCCCCCCGCCTCTGCCCGCACCAAGGCCACCGACCGCTTCACTGCACTCTACCCGCTTCTTAAGGATATCACGCTCGCAGGCTCGGGCCGAACCAAGTCCACCAAGGCTGTTGCCACGATGCTGCTTCCGCTGATGTTCCGAGCCGCAGGGGAAGGTACGGGTGGAGGTATGGATGCATGCAGGTGGGGCTATGGGTGCATGTGAAGGCAAGGGTGCGTGTGAAGGCAAGGGTGCGTGTGAAGGCAAGGGTGCGTGTGAAGGCAAGGGTGCGTGTGAAGGCAAGGGTGCGTGTGAAGGCAAGGGTGCGTGTGAAGGCAAGGGTGCGTGTGAAGGCAAGGGTGCGTGTGAAGGCAAGGGTGCATGTGAAGGCAAGGGTGCATGTGAAGGCAAGGGTGCATGTGAAGGCAAGGGTGCGTGTGAAGGCAAGGGTGCGTGTGAAGGCAAGGGTGCGTGTGAAGGCAAGGGTGCGTGTGAAGGCAAGGGTGCGTGTGAAGGCAAGGGTGCGTGTGAAGGCAAGGGTGCGTGTGAAGGCAAGGGTGCATGTGAAGGCAAGGGTGCGTGTGAAGGCAAGGGTGCATGTGAAGGCAAGGGTGCATGTGAAGGCAAGGGTGCATGCGAAGGCAAGGGTGCATGGGTCTGTGTTTTCAGCTGCTTTGGAACCAGGGTTCAATTTGTGAGAACGCTGGACAGGGCGTGCCATCTGTGCATGTCTTTCATCTGTGCTTACTCTCATTGACACCCCGTGCTGCCTCTTGCCCACCTGCCCTGCCCGCTGCCCTCTCTTCCCTCTCAGAGCCTGAAGCGCTCGCCCAGGAGGCGAGCAGCCTCTTCGTATGGTGCTTGGCAGAGAACCCTGACTGCTACCTGCAATGGGTGAGCGCCCCCGTCTACTTTTGACACGACTCATAGCTTCTAATGCTGCTACAACGTTTCATTCTATCAGTCTCGTTCTATCCAGGTGGCTCTCAGCTTCACCTGGACAACTGTACCCTCAGCCTCCTCTCCTATCTGTCCTTTATTCCACACTTGTCGAGAGGCGTGCAGTCTCCACACAACTGCAACTCGATTGCACAAGGATTGTTCCATGGCTTGGGACAAGCCATGTCGGTCACACAGATGGCTTGTGCCTAACTGCATGTGTTGTGCGTGGCTGTTGCAGGAGCGGCATCATTCGGAGGACCATGCCACGAGCACACTCCTGCTGATCCACCCTTATAACTCAACTTGATGAACAAACCATGTCTGCCTGTGCGTTGTCCTGGCAGGAGCGGCATCATGCGGAGGACCATGCCACGAGCACACTCCTGCTGACCTATGTGCTGCGCTCATGGCCCACTGTCAAGACGCAGCTCGCGCCCTTTGACCCTCTGCGCAAGTTCCTTGCCTCCATTCGCAAGAAGGTGTGTTCTGCCTGCTGTGCAGTGTGCGTGATGCTTGCTGTGGGTCAGTGTGCCGGCCATTCTCCCCTGCTCCTGTGCCCCGTGCCCCTGTGCTCCCATGCTCACATGTTCATGCTCTCATGCTCCCATGTTCCTATGCTCACCCATGCTCCTATGCTCACCCATGCTCCTATGCTCACTCATTCTCCTATGCCCACCCATTCTCCTATGCTTAATTCCTAGCTTCTCATTTCCCCCACACTCTCTTGCTCCACACTTCGTTCCAAACCTCTTCTACTCCAACCCCTCCTCGTCCCATCCGCCTCCCCTGCTCCCTCTCAGCAGCACATTGCGGCATTGGAGGAGCTGGACGAGGGCCAGATAACACAGAAAAAGGATATCCAAAGCGCCTACGCAGTTTGAGATTGCCTTGAAAGTTGCATCCTCTCACTCCACACCTCATCCCATCCTCTTCTTCCCTCTCCCCATCTGTGCAGCACATTGCGGCATTGGAGGAGTTGGATGAGGGCCAAATAGCGCGGAAAAAGGACATCCAAAGCGCCGACGCAACAGCGAGGAAGCTGCAAGGGAAGGTGGCTGCAGGGGGGAGCTGCGTGGTGGTGTCGGCTGCTCTGATGGCCGTTGCAGCAGCAGCAGCGTATGCAGCCTTCAACTTGCCACCTCAAGGCGAGTTTAACCTGGATATTGATGCCGTGCTGGCATTGCTCAAGGGTAATTAACTCTGGAGGGCGAGGCTAAATCCCCTTACCGGAGAGGAGGAAGCGGTGTTTTGTGTCTCTACAGCTTTGTGACAGAGCAATTGGCCTGTGTTCTTGGAAAGTGGTACTATGCTATGACAGAGCCATATTGGAATACTCGTGGTGGTTGAAGATACAGAAGAAAGACGTTTATGCATTGTACTCAGTATGCTTCTACCAGACTCCTATAGAAGAGTTCCGAAGGCGTCGGTGTAAAAGTGCACAATTGTGTGATAAGCAGCAGCACACAACCTGAACTGACTTGCTGATAAGCTCTACGATAAGCCCAAGCCTACACCAACCTAATTTTAGACATGTCTGAACATTTTTTCTCAAAAGAAGTGAGGCATGAATCTGTAACGGTGCTGCAGCTCCACACAGAAGGGCAGCGGCAGTTACCAATCAGCGATATAACACTATTTAGAGTGATTTTAGCCAGCGGGTTTCCACTCAAACTGCTGAAACTTACAATCAGCATCTAGAATACCAGATGTCTTGTAGTCCTGTTCTTTGCCATCAATTACGGCCCTCTCTTTCGATGGGCCGTTCTTTCCCTGAGATGCACTGAATCTGGACAGGCGGGAAGCGGAGTCCTGGTATGTCTGCCCTATGATGCCATGCACCTTGTGGGATGCATGTAGGCTGACAATGCGAATGTTCAGCTGCAGGACAGGAGGGGGAAGGGGAACGGGGGTTTTGACATCAGGGAAACATGTTCTAGAAGTTGCAGACTCTGATTCCTGACAACTCATGGCAACCATTTCAGTGCACGACTTACATAGTTGGGATGGGACTTGCGTGAGAGGTCTGGAAGAATGTCAACCGTCAGATCCACCACCCCTCGCACGCGCACTCGCACGCTTGTCTTGCGCCGCTCGATCCTGACCGTATGCCGAAGCAGATCGATGGTCAGGATGTCATCTGGCATAGACGCACTGTTCACCTCCAGTTGACCCTGCACCCCCTCAGGTGACACATCAGCTGCTGACTGTGCAGAAACGACGATGTGGATGCCTGAGCTGGTTACCACCCCGATTTCATCAATGTACTGCAGGAGAAGAGAACAATGAGAAGGGAAGGAAGCAGAGGGAAACAATAAAAATCGTCAGAAACACCTCCAAACTCATGTTTGTAATGTTGACCCTGCACGCCCTGAATCATTAACTTTTGCCAACTACCTTAAAGCCTTTTCACTCACCGTGCTTCCATTCTTGGCGCCAGCGAACAGATGCATGTTGATCTGAACCTTCCGATCGCTCACAAGGCAGTAGCTCGCGCCATCCTGACCGTGGAATTCAAACTTCTCGCCATGCCGACCAATCAGGTGTGGGTCTCCCTTTGCTGACGTTTCAGCAACATGGGGCACACCACCACTGCACCCGTTGCTGCTGCTGTTGCCGCTGCTGTTGCCACTGCTATTGCTGCTGCTAGGGTTTTCACTGGTGCTGCTGCAGTTGGAATTTGGAGAAGTTGGAGTTATGCTGCTGCCTGAGAGTGTGCCATTATTGAGTGGCGCCTTGTTGTTGCATTTCACTTTGCGTCTGTGGGAGGCGTGCGGGCGCGGAGGTGTGCTAGTAACCGTGCTGACCGTATCAGGAAAGCACGGGGAGGATTTGGGAGGAGGAGGTGCGGTAACAGGAGGGCAAGTGCAGTTGTGAGTGGTTGGGTTCGGTTGAGAGGTAGAGTACAAGGGACTGGGAGCAAGCGCGGAAGCAGGTTCCGTGGGGTTGGAAGCGGGTTCCGCACTGGACTGAACGACAGAGAGGAGCGTGGCCATGACAGCTGCAGCGAGCATGAGGTGTCGCATGAATCGCATGCTGCCGACTCGGGGACCCATCCCACGCCCGCTCATGGCTATGTAGCGCCCCATCCTGCGACTCCTGCGATGCATGCGACGTAACTGACGCCTGTGATGCCTTGACTGACTGGAATGTCAGCGATGCTACTGAGAGTGTTTCAGAACCTGTGCATTTCTTAAAGAGACGCGACGAGCTTTAACCCTTTTGACCAGAAAAGCCTCCTAAAACCGACGTGAATTGCTTCGATCCGACACTGCTCTCCACGCAAATCCCCTTCCACGCCCGCCGTCGCCGCCGCCGCCATGCTCACGGCGCCTCCAGCGAGGTCAAACGCGTTCGCCGCCACGCTCGATCCAGGAGAGGGCGGAGCGCGACGGCTCGTGTCCCTCCGACGCGGAGGCGGACGGCGGAGTCACGACTTCTCGCTCATCGCGAGGTGGCTTTTGAGTTACTTAAGCGGCACCAACGGAGGGCGGAGGCCGCTCGTTCATAGCGCGCGTCCGCGCCGCCGTACCGACCTAGCCATGGACGCGAGCCGCGTCATATCCGGTTTCGAGGCGAGCCGAGGCAATACGAAACTATACATGGCTAACGAGCGAGACGAAACGACTACTTTCCTAAATGCGCAGGAAAGGGACTAAATTGCGCAAAGTACGCGTCAGCGCAGCGTGCTTGCGAGGAGGAAGCGCGGAAAGCTCGATTACAAGAATTGCGCCCCGCGTGTGCTCTAGTCAGGCTGCCCAGCAAAAGAAATGTTGCAAATCCTCGTTTCAAGCTACTTCGATCTCATAACGCCACTTCCGGAAATCCTCCACCATATTGATCAACGATATTCACCTCTTCATACATGTAGTTGCTGAAAATGGAAGCTTTGAAGAAGAGTCAGCCTGGGCCAGTATGGGTCTGTCTGCGTGCACAGCAAGAACAGTAGGGACGTGGACTAATTGATGGCTCTGGTGTGGCATCTGTGCATGCAGGCATGGCATGTTTGTTGTTTGCTGCAGCTAGGAGGCAAGAATCAAGGATTAGCTGCTTGGCTGGTTGCTGCTTGTGTTCAGTAGTGGCGGTGTTCGCCAGCACCTTTGAGATTGGAAGAAAATGGAAGGCATTGGACTGGCAACGGCATCAGGAAGCGGGGTCGGAACCCTCCGAAAAGGTTTGGGCGAAATGCCACCCGCGAACTTTCCAGCCCCGACATGAGAAACTTCACAACCGCATATGGAACCCCACACCCCACCTTCCTCCGACAGCCAATTACATCGCCAAACCACGGCGGTCCACGTGAAATGGTGGATTGCCACGGGATGGCATGAGACGGGACGTTTGCCTGGGGAGGAAGTCGCGTCCCCATTTCCGAATGCCATGTTTCCTTCCGAAAATTGAGAAAAATGAGAGCGTTCGCCAGGCACCGCAGATTGCTTTAGGCTCGGACGACATCCTAGCTTCGGCACGAATTTTACGGGCTGACCAGGCTGACGGAGCTTAACGAACCCTAACTGACGGGATCAGGAAGGCGTGACTGACCTTCCAGATCCCGTCGTTTTCGTTTTCAAAAGTGCTGGCGAACACCGCCAGTATCAACAAGCATAGGATGGGGTAGCTTCCATGCTCTTGCTGCATGTGGTAGCATGGATACCTGAGCTTGCTGCTCTTGTCGCAGGTGCAGCATTCTGATTTGGGGTGTTTGTTGCGTACCCTGGCCATACATGTTCAGCACAAAATGTGCGCAATCGCTGTTTCTTGTCAGTCCCCGCCATCCCCGCTTGTATTTGCCTGACTCGCATCCTGTTTGTGGTGGCTGGCTATGTGCATGCATGCTGCATTCGAAGCATGAGTGGGTGCCCTGCAGTTCCACTTGCTCGCCATCACCATGCTAGCTCCATCTCACTCTCTCTCAGCGCTGTGACTGAGGACTTGGCCTGTAGCAGCCGAGTCATCAGGGCGCAGCACAGCACCTGCAGAGGGCACTCTGCCTTGCGTGGGCGTTTGCGTCCCCTCTGCCCTGCGTGGGTATTTGTGCTCAGGCGCCTTCTAGGATCCCCACACACCTAATCTACAACATGCAGATCCATCCCAGCACAGCAAAGCGCAATGCAGCACACCTAAGCAAAGATAAGCACACCTGCACACCTAAGCAAATATAAGAACACCTAAGGAAATATAAGCACACCGAAGCACAGCTGAGCACTGTAAGCACAGCGGCACATCTTGAGCTCTTAGTGGCCCACCTCCATGCAGCACCCCACAAGTCCTGCACATCACCACAGAAGAGTCCGACAACAGGACAACAACGGGACATGGAAGAGCGAGGAGGAAAGAGAGCAGTTAGACACTTCCAAGGTGCGAAGCGCACGACAGCACACAAGTGAAGCTGATCAAAGGGAAAATAATAGCGGTGCATTGTGTGCATTGTGTTCATGTCAGACGTCCTTTGCGAAGCAAGCGCCAAGAGAGAAATGTACGTTAGCAAGGCCAGCAACCCCCCCCCTCCAGAATTCTCCCATCACACATACCATGACGAAATACGCAGCACTGTTGTTGCTGGCACTGCTACCCCAGAAGTTGCTGGCAGGGACAGCAATGGGACATGGAGAGGGGAGGGAGACCAGGGGACACAGAAAGAGGGAAGGACGAGCAGCATGAGAAGGTTTACAGGAGACGAGTAGGGCATTGAGGCACTGGCCTAAGACGCAAGCACTACTAAATCAACCGCTGAAAACACTTGAGGGAACTGGGAAGCACTAGGGTAAGCTATAATCACCCTTACATTGCTGCAGCCGCAACCACTGTAGTGAATGTGGATTCTGCATGTATCCCTGCCACCACTGGTGCCCGTGCTGCTGGTGCTGGATAGGAGCTTCTGGTGACTGAAGGGAGGAGAGCAGAGAAGAGGAGAGGAGAGCAGTGAAGAGGAGAGGAGAACAGAGAAGAGAGCAGAGCAGAGAAGAAGAAAGGAGTGCAGAGAAAAGAGGAGAGAACAGACAAAGAGAGGACAGGAAAGGAGGAGTTTGAAAGGAGAGCAGAGCGGCATATACATTTGGCAAAGCATCTAAAACACACATGGCACTGTCGAGAAAAGGTAGACTAGACGGAAACGCACAAGAGAAAGAAGCATGAGCATGTTGAGTGGAGAAGTGGTGTACCAGCTGATCTAATCACAACACATTCCCTTGACAGCTTGCCATCAGCCAGCCGTTGTTTTCCCAGTGCTCCCTGAGGACTGGTGATCCCTCACTTGCTGCAGCCCCTGCCCCCTCGAGTGCTGGAGTGAGGGGAGGTAGTATGGCATGGAAGAGGACGAGAGGTGTGAGCACGGAGAGGAGAGGCGAGTGGATGAGAGGTTGAGGATGAGAAAAAGCAGAAGAGGTGGCAGATGGCAGCTGGAGGAGCGAGTGAGACAAGAACAACGCATGGTACACTCTCACTCCTGAGACAAGAAGCAACGCATGGTGCACTCTCATTGCTGAGACAAGAAGCAACACTCGGCGATACCCCACGACTCACTTCACTGCCCCCTTGCAAGCACCTCTGGCACGTGATCGGTTCACCGCTCCGCCGCTCCCCAGGCGTGCTGCTCTCCAGGTTTCTCCGTTGCTCCTGCTGCCCATGCTCGCAGGCCGTGAGGCACACACACATACGCATGGGGTGAAAGACATGCACACAGAAGCCGCACCAACAACGGAGGGTTAGAAACAGCAGGAGGCGAGTGGCGGAGGTAAAAGCAAGAGACACGACTCTTGCCTCTGCGCGGCGACGCTCTATGAATCACTACACTCCCCCCTGCAAGCACCCCCTGGCGCGTACCACACTCTTTCTGCTTCTCTGCCACTCCTGCACCACGCCTTCCCTTCACGCCTGCTGCTCCAAGTTGCTCCAAGTTGCTCCAGGTTGCTCCGTTGCTCCGGGTGGCCATGCTCGCAGGCCGTGAGGCACGCACACACACGCATGGGGAGAGAGAGACACACACACAAGCGGCACCAACAAGAAGGAGGGTTATTAGCAGCAAGAGGGGAGTGGCGGACTCAAAAGCAAGAGACAAGACGGCTGTTGCCTCTGTGCCGCAACGCTCTACGACTCACTCCACTACCCCCTGCAAGCACCCCCTGGCAAGTACCACACTGTGTCCGCTGCTCTGCCACTCCTGCACCACGCCTTCCCTTCACGTCTGCTGCTCCAAGTTGCTCCAGCTTGCTCCGTTGCTCCGGCTGCCCATGCTCGCAGGCTGTGAGGCAAACACACACGCATGGGGAGAGAGACACGCACACACAAGCGGTACCAACAAGAGGGAGGGCTATTAACAGCAGGAGGGGAGTGGCAGACTCAAAAGCAAGAGACAAGACGACTGTTGCCTCTGCGCGGCGACACTCTACGACTCACTACAGTCCCCCCCACAGCTGTCTCGTTCTTACGTATCGTTGATCTTCCCCTGATTGTCTCGTTGATCTTCCCCTGATTGTCAACAATCTCCAAGCAAACGCTTGTGAGCTTTGGATGAACGCTTGCAGCCTGCAAACTCCAAACGACGCCTGGCAATTCTTGAAGTGCTTGGTGACTACAGCGACGGCGACGACCGAAAATCCGTTCCTCGGAGTTAGTCGCACACATGCAGAGAGGGAAAAGAGGAGGACAGGGAGAGCAGGAGGGGACAAGAGTAAGTGGGAAGGTAGTTTCACGCATGACACGAAGGAGGAGAGCGACGAGACTCTCTAAGCGTGCCTACATGATCCCCCCCACCATCTTTCGCTGTTACGCAACGTTGATCTTTCAAGGGATCCAAGGGAACGCCGGGGAAGTTGATGCTAACGCATGCAATCCTCCTGGCATACTCCCACGAGCTGCTTCTGACGGCCGCATACGTGGTGTTCGACGCATCGACGTTTCGTGGTATTTCGTCGACGTCCTGTTGACCATTTCGACGCATCGAAAAGAGCGCTTGCGAGCTTCGAGCGACGTCGGGCGGTTCTGGGAATGTCTGAAGCAAGCTTCGTCCGACACTGCGGCGATGGCCACCGTCCAAAGCCCGTCCGTGCTTCGAACAAACACGCAGTGGGGAGAACGGCGGGGGGACAGAAAGAGAGAAAAGGCACACGCGTTAATGGGAAGCTTTATTCAAACATGACACGAAGAAGAAGAGCGACGAGACTCTCTAGGCGGTGCTGTTCTAGACGCCTACATGATTCCCCCCACCACCCTTCGCTGTTACGTACCGTCGATCATTCATTGATCACGTGAGAAATTCAAGGGAACGCCGAGGAACTCGATGCGAACGCATGTGATTCTCATGCCGTTCGGCCCATAGCGATCTCCCGTGACATGCGTCACGCTCCTTCTGATGGCCGCGTCCTGTTGACAGTTTCGACGCATCGAAACGTCCACTTCTTGACGCTTGCGATGCCAGTCGGCGAACACTACTGCTGCCATTTGCGAACAGCTGCTTTCCGCCGCTGATTCGTACTCCGAAAAACGCTGCGTTGTTCCCGGCCGGCAATCTCGAGAAACGTTTATTTCAGACTGCCAGTTTCGAGGGCTAATATTCCGTCACTCGGACTAAAGGATGCTGCTCTTGGTACTAACCCAAGACTCGTTGGAGCAACCACTTCCATCGCACGAGATTCTCATGATTTGAAAGACCATTTCCGGATGTATATGTCGGCTGGAGGGCAAGCAGAGACAGCCAGGAACCTGAATAGATGTAGAGCTGCGGTTTGCTGCTGTGGGACGACGCCGTCTCGAAGCTTTTCGCTAAGAAGCCTTACTGGGTGTCGCAACCGTCGTACAGCAGCGTGCGATGGTGCATCAGGGAGAAAAATATTATCATATCAGGCTGAGCCTATCCGAACCTACGTTACCACGAGCAGCAGTTCGGCCGTTTCTTCTGGAAGTCACCCCTTTCTAAAAGAAAATGAAGCGACAATAGGACCTTCGTTCTAGGGAACTTAATGTCTAGCATTGACGCAACGCAACACCAGCCGGCAGCTGATAAAGACAAGTTAAAATCCTCGATATGTCAAGTTGGGTGGAGGTTTGGCGGTGAGGTTCGGGCCGAGCCGGGAGATGTACAACATGGTAATTGCTGCTGCTGTTAGAGCTGGTGATGTGAACACCGCTCGATCTGTCTACACCGATTTGAGGGGCAGCGTTCCTCTTGCTGCCCGTGCTCCTGCTACTTTTGCTGCTTCTTTCTAGGTAGGGGACACAGAGGAAGAGGGAGGAAGAGGGAGAAAGAGGGGGGGCAATGGTGCAAAGCGCGCCTGCAAAGCTTAAAGCTCGGATATTCGGTCCGGCGAGGCATATCGCCCTGCGAGCAGTTGGCAGGCGGCGTCTGCTAGCGGATGAGTCCGCTAGGAGCAGCACCGGATAATATCCGTGCTGATCCTAACTGGCGCTGATGGGGCGAGCGATGACGGGGCCGCGACTGAGGCAGTGCGATTTGCGGTGGCAGTGGGGGAGAAGAGGAGGGAGCGGGTAAGCACCTTTAGGAGTGGGCTGCTGGGCCGATTGTGGAAGAGGAGGTGAGTGTGGATGGGAAGGTGAGTGGGGTGGGGAGGCGGTTGGAAGGATGGTGAGGGTTGAGGAAAAGGAGGAAGGGGGTGAAAGGGAGGAGGGAGGGAACGGGGAGGGGGGGGGGAGGAGGGTAACTGGAAGGAGCAGGTAGTGGATAATGCCAGAGAGACGGGCAGCATGGGCAGCACGGGTCGTTCAGCGTGCAGGACGCAGCGGGTGCTGGCGTTCAGCACGGTGCCGCACCCTTCACTAGTGTTCTACATGTTAGAAACTATCAGGCAGGAATGAGTTCACTAGCAGGGAATGAAAGTACAGGTATCAAACCTTAAAAGAGTTGTACTATATGTTGGCTACCCCACTACAGCACACAAATATATAAATCAGTTTTGACACACCCCCATAGGCAAATTGGGGAAGAGCCAGCGGTTACAAGACCAGTCAAGAACAACAAAGGGAGCTCAGGGTGGATCACAAAGTCACCACACACTCTTAGCACAAGCAAATGGTGACAAGGACGGTCCACATGAAGAGTTATATAAAAGATAGCAAACAGTACAGTGATCACAACCTAGCGAGAATAAGCATGCAGGTATACATAGGTCACAGTACAAGCAAAGTCAAGCAGTAAGCAAGTGAGGCAAAGCAGGCACAAGGCCCAACACAATACAGAAGCGCTCATGATCACCACGCGGAAGTGCCCTGGTGAATATATCAGCAGTGTTGGCTCGAATGAGCCACGTAAGCAAGACGAAGCTGACCACGTTGCTGCAACTCTCGAACCAGGAAGCAACGCAGAGCGATGTGTTTTGTTCTGTGCTCCAGTCAGTGTCAGAATGTTATGCTCTAGCCTGTAGTGGGGTGCTCTATAGCGAGTACAACCCTTCTAGGGTTTGCTATTTGTATCCTCATTCCTGCTAGTGAACCCCCTCTTTGCCTAAACTGTTTCTTGCCTAGCTATGGCTTTCCTAGCTATGGCACCTTCTTCTACCATTCATTCTACTGCTTATTCTCACATGGTATTAGAGCGATATGCTCTTGGCCTGTGGGCCCCACCTCACTACTTCCGCTGCTACTGCTACTCTCTGTGTTGCACGCCCCGTGGCGTGCAACAGATTTTTCATCCCGCCACGCGCTCGGAGCGTGCGGCGGTTTTCTGCCCGCCGTGCGCCCCGAGGCGCGCGGCGGTTTTCTGCCTGCCGTGCGCCCCGAGGTGCGCGGCGGTTCTCTGCCCGCCGTGCGCCCCGAGGCGCGCGGCGGGTTTCTGCCCCGTCACGCAGCGCGTCGCTCCCGGGAGGCGCTGCGACGGGCGAAGGGGACCCGCGGGTCGCCCCCCGTCGCCCGTCGTGGCCTGTGCGCGGCCCGTACAGCCTGCGCGCGGCCCGTACGGGCTGCGCCAGGCCCGCGCGCGGCCCGTACGGGCTGCACCAGGCCCACGCGCGGCTCGGGCCGCCTGCGCGCGGTTCGGGCGGCTGTGCCAGGCCCGTGGGCGGCCCATTCTTCGCTGCCCCTGCGCTGCCCGCTGTCCCCCGTGCTTCTGATGGCGCCCCACCTCTGCTGCTGCCCGTTCTCCTGGATTAGGGTTTGGGGGTGGGGGGTATGGGGGTGCAGCTTCTGTATGCCGTCCCTTGCTCCTCCTCCTCCTCCGTCTCCCAGTGCTGCAGCTGCCGCTGAGGGGGGTGGACCTGTTGGAGCCGTCGGAGTGGTACTAAGGGGGGTGAATTGGGAGTGGAGCTAGGGGTGAAGCAGGGGGTGTGTGTCAGGGGGGGTGGGACTGTTTGGGGAGGTTGAACGAAGGTTGCCGTCGAGTCGCCAGCAGCACCTGTAGTCCGGGGAGTTGCTCCGGTAGCCCAGTCGCAGCCACCTGTGCCAGTCGCCCGTGGGTCCGTTGCTCGTCTGCCGCTACTTTTAGCCGCGGGGCCAGTTACTCCAGTAGTCCGGAGCGCTGTTCCGGTAGCCGCTGTGCCAGTGTGCCTCCTGTTGCCCGTGTGTCTGCAGCTTCAGTCGTCGCCTCCTATCTCCTCTCCTCTTACAGTCTTGCCTCCTCCTCCTCACTTGCCCTCTGCGATAGCCTCTAGCTTTGCTCATAATTGTGAACTTTAAACTATTGCTTCTTGTACTTGTGCTCAAAATGTGTGGTGACATTGTGATCCACCCTGAGCTTGTTCTGCTTTGCTTGCTCTGCTGATTACACCCCACTTTGGCTATGGGGGTGTGTCAGAATGTTATGCTCTAGCCTGTAGTGGGGTGCTCTATAGCGAGTACAACCCTTCTAGGGTTTGCTATTTGTATCCTCATTCCTGCTAGTGAACCCCCTCTTTGCCTAAACTGTTTCTTGCCTAGCTAGAGCTTTCCTAGCTATGGCGCCTTCTTCTACCATTCATTCTACTGCTTATTCTCACAGTCAGTGCTCCTGACACAAAGCAATTGCAGCCTTTTTGTCTACGTACAGAACTGGAGGAGAACAAGGCCGCTCTCCCAAGTCGTTCAGCAGGTAGGTGAGCCAGCATAACTCCTGTGCAGCCATGGCTCCTGCGTAGATCTTAGCCTCATAACTTGAGCTGAGAACAGTGAGGGCGGTAGGGTCAAGAGCGAGAAAGTGGTCCTTGATCGTACGAAGAGAGTCAGGGAGGCGGGTGACTAGGAAGTAGAGCGTGATGTACATCAGGGGCGGGTTGGCGGCTAAGAACTCGGCTGAGAGAGCGGCACGGTAGCGAACGTCACTAGCGCGAAGGTGGGATATGAGGTCCTCAACTGTGGCAAAGGAGGACAGCTCTGGGAACAGGTAGGGCAAGATAAGGCGGCTGAGAGCAGCAGTGGCAAGGGAAGAGTAGCGAGCGACTACAGTGCGGAGATAACTACTACAACGGGAGCTAGACTACAGGCTAGGCACAGATGCTCGTGTGATCTCTGCGTTCTATGTTCCTTCGTCGTTTTCCTAGTGCACACACTGCTTGCTAGTCCACGGGGCGATTTGGCGAGAGTTTCATTAAGAAAGGTTGACAATAATGGTACAATCAGGTTGGCAAGATAAGACTACATCATAGCTAACGTTCAGGTCGGTCGACTGCCAGCACAGCATGGTCGACCGCGTTCCAGCACGACTTGGTCGACCGCGCTCCAGTAGTGCAAAGTCGACGGCATGCCAACGTTGCATGTCAACGGCGTGCCAAGGCTGCATGTCGACGGCGTGCCAGCGTTGCTCCCGCAGTACAGCATCGCACCAGCTTCGTAGGTGCTCGCAGATGATTGGCATGCTGTGCCTCGACACCTGCACAGCGCATACATCAAGTTGTCCTCGTGCTGACGACTGCACCTGATCCACCACGTCGACCTCGGGATACCACCACCGAGATCGGTCTCGCCAACATCGCCTGGGCGACCGTCGCACTCCTCTGCAGAACCTCGTCACCCAGGTAACCTCGCCGACCGGGCAACCACGTCGACCGGCTACTCCTGTATGTGCCCGTCGACATCCCAAGTCGACGACCAACTCGAGTCGACCTCACCAGGTCGACCACACCCTTGGTCGACCAGCTCCAGGTCGACGTCACTCCTGGCTGGCCAGCTCTACGTCGACCAGCACAATTGTCAGCCGACCACCCAAGTTGGATACCCGAAGTCGGCGTCACCAAGTTGACGCCCTACTATTCGACGCCCAGCTGCTCGGCGTCCTGAGTCGTGGTCGACGTCGGCCCCTCCTCCGTTGACCACCAAGTTAAGTCGGCCACCAGGTCGACAGCCCTCCTGGTCGACCAACCACCAGGCCGACCAGCGGTCCTGTCAGCCGACCACCCAAGTCGGCTGCCCCAAGTTGGCGTCACCAAGTTGACGCCCTCCGTAGGTCGATTTCCCAGGTCGACCTCCCTGAAGTCGGCGCCCGTGCAGTCGCCCCCATGCTGACAAAATACTAGCGTGAGTTTGGCTTAGGAGCCATAGTTTAGGAGCCTTGGTAGTTGAGTTCGAGTTTTGGAAAAGTATCGAGAGGAATGAGGTTTCACTAGCAAAAGTTGGGATACAAGTACAACACCCTAAATTGGGTTGTACTCATTACAGAGTACCCCACTGCAGGCTAGACAGCAAATACATTCTGACACACCCCCATAGCCAAAGTGGGGTGTAATCAGCACAATGAGCAAGCATAGAGCAAGAGTTCACAATAGATAAGTAAGGCTAGAGCTAATCACAGAGGGCAAGTGAGGAGGAGGAGAGACTGTGGAGGAGAGAAGATGGGAGGCGACTGCTGACACTGCAGACACACAGACGAGCTGCTGGCTCAGTGGCTACCGGAACAGCGCTCCGGACTACTGGGGTAACTGGCCCCGCGGCTAAAAGTAGCGGCAGACGAGCAACGGACCCACGGGCGACTGGCGACTACCGGAGATTGTAGCCTCCGGACTGCTGCTGCTGCTGACAACAAGACTACTACCTCCACTCGACCTCCCCAGCTGCCTAACGCCCTTCTCACACACCCCCTGCTCAAACCCTAGCCCTACACCCACAGCACCCCCTTAAACCCTAAACCCCAGACTCCCACACATCCACCCCCCTCAGCGAGAGCTGTAGCAGTGGGAGACGAAGGAGGAGGAGGAGGAGGGAACGGCACGCACAACCGACACCCCCACAACCATCACCCCCACACCCACCCCCCCACGGCTGCACCGGGTCCAGGAGCGGCTGCTGTAGGGGCCATGGGCGGTTGCTGCTGGGGCGGCTGCTCCAGGGGCTGCTGCTGCTGGGGCGGCTGCTCCAGGGGCTGCTGCTGCTGGGGCGGCTGCTCCAGGGGCTGCTGCTGGGGCGGCTGCTTCAGGGGCTGCTGCTGATGGGGCGGCCGCTGCAGTGGCGGCGGCTCCAGGGGTTGCTGCTGCTGGGGCGGCTGCTCCAGGGGCTGCTGCTGCTGGGGCGGCTGCTCCAGGGGCGGCTGCTGTTGCAAGGCAGGCCGCTCCAGGGGCGGCTGCTTCAGGGGCGGCGGCTCCAGGGGCGGCTGCTGCAGCGGAAAGTAGGAGGGAGGGGAGGGGAAGGGCGCGGCCGCCATTGTGCCCTGACGGGCGATGTGCTAGGGAGCCGGGCAGGTCCCCAAAAGTGCCTCAACTGGCAACAAGAGGGGACCGCGCGCAGGCCCCTAAGGCGCCGCGACGAGGCAACGGGAGGGGCCGGCTCGCGGGCACCCGAAAGTGTCGTGACGAGGCGACGGGAGGGACCTGCGTGCGGGCCCCCAAAACGCCTCGACGAGGCGACGGTCGGGGCCAGTGCGCGGGCCCCTAAGACGCCGCGACGAGGTAGGAACCCGCCGCGCGCCTCGGGGCGCACGGCGGGCAGAAAACCGCCACGCGCTCGGAGCGCGTGGCGGGAAGAAAAATGGGATGTCGCGCGCCACGGGGCGCGCGACACACAGTAGGGCAGCGGAATCGAGTGGGCCCACAGGCCAGGAACGTTAAGCTCTGATAACATGACAAAATACTAGCGTGAGTCTGGCTTAGGAGCCATAGTTTAGGAGCCTTGGTAGTTGAGTTCGAGTTTTGGAAAAGTATCGAGAGGAATGAGGTTTCACTAGCAAGAGTTGGGATACAAGTACAACACCCTAAATTGGGTTGTACTCATTACAGAGTACCCCACTGCAGGCTAGACAGCAAATACATTCTGACACATGCAGGTCGACCTCCTCGTCAACCAGCTCGTCCACTGCTGCAGGTCGGCTGCTCCCCTCACACCCGACTACGAAGTCGGCACCGCCCAAGCGAGGACGTGGCCAACACACAACTCCCGCTGACATACAGCAGTGTCCATGTCGGCCGAAGTGAGCACATTCAGCTAACGGCAGATGGTTGCGAATAGATAGGCGAGCTGTTGTGTCATGGGTCTGCCACTGTGAACGAGTGAGGCTATTAGTTGTGTCAGGAGGAGTGACTGAGGAGCCAGACGCGTGGTCAAACAGGTAAACGCCGTCTTTCGCATCGGTCATTAGGTACAGTTGCAGGTCATCGAGCCATATGGCGAACTCTATCGGGCGGCTGTCAAGATGTTGAGCGTAGCCATAGCTGCAGTGCGGGGCACGGGCAGGCAGAGGCGGCGCACGGGCAGCAGAGACGGCGCGCAGGCAGCAGAGGCAGCGCGCGGGCAGTAGAGGCGGCGCGCTGGCTGGCAGAGGCTGCGTGCGGGCGGCAAAGGCAGCGCGCGGGCTGCAAGGGTTGCAGACGGGCGGCGCGCGGGCCGGCAGAGGCTGCACGCGAGAGGGCAAAGGCGGCGCGCAGGCCAGCAAGAGCTGCGCGCGGGCGGGCAAAGGTGGTGCGCGGGCCGACAGGGGCTGCGCGCGGGCGGGCACAGGCGGCGCGCGGGCCGGCAGGAGCTGCGCGCAGGCGGGAAAAGGCGGCGCACGGGCCGGCAGGGGCTGCGCGCGGGCAGCAAAGGCGGCACGCGGGCCGCGGTGGCAGCGCTCGGGCCGCGGTGGCAGCGCTCGAGCCGCGCAGGCTGTAGACGAGCGGCACGCGGGCCAGCAGGGGCTACGTGTGGGCAGGCAAAAGCGGCGCACGCGCGGCAAGGGCAACGCGCGGGAGTGCGTGCTGCAAACGGGCAGCGCGTGGGCCTGCAGGGGCAGCGTGCGGGCAGGCCGAGGCAGGGCGCGGGCAAAGCAGGGCGCGCGCGGGCAGTGCAATGCAGGGCAAGGCGTGAGGTAGCACGGTAACCGCAGTTGATGGTGTGCCCGGAAGAAGAAGGACGGTCCTACCTACTGCTTTGAATGCCATGTTAGAAACTATCAGGCAGGAATGAGTTCACTATCAGGGAATGAAAGTACAAGTATCAAACCTTAAAAGAGTTGTACTCTATATTGGCTACCCCACTACAACCTACAAATATATAAATCAGTTTTGACACTACATGCATCAATGCCACTTTGAGAAGCACGGCATGTGGGCCGTGGTGCCCCGCCTCATCCACAAGTGGCTCACTCCCCGTGCCTTCGCGTACTAGTACATGTATGCCGCTCAAAGCCGCCAACCCAGTCAACGGGTGAGGGACGGCCAACCTAATCAACTGGGAAAATATGGCCAGCCTGAAGGGTCAATAATTTTGTATGCGGGGATGTATCAGGCGAAGGAGGTGGCGCTGATAATGAAGGCGCTTAAAACCGAAATATAAAATAGTGAAGGCCGTCCCACCTTGAAATCGCTGCAATGAGTTCGGCTGATTCAACACTGTTCCAAACAAAACGGTAAGGCAGGTTGAAGTGAGAAGAATAGAACGAGAATGAATGAACTATGAATGAAGTGAGTACATATAGGAAACCCTAATTGGGTTGTACCCCCTATGGGATACCCCACTATAGCCTACACAACAGCATAAGCTATATAACGTTCTGACACACCCCCATAGGCAAAGTGGGGGAGAACAAGGGGTCACAAGACCAGTCAAGCAAAACAGAGCAAACTCAGGGTGGATCACAAAGTCACCACACAGTCCGAGCACAACGACAAGGCCACAAGGCCAGTTCACATGCAGGAGTACACACATATATATATAGAGCTAGACAAGCAAGAGCAGGTATATATATGTGACAGTACAAGCAAGGTCAAGAGGAGAGCAAGTGAGGCAAGACAGGTACAAGACCCAGCTGAGTGCAGAAGCGCTGATGGTCACAAGGCGCGAGTGCCTTGGTGAACACGTCAGCAGTGTTGGCCTCAGAGGCCACGTACGCAAGCCGCAACTGTCCACGCTGCTGTAGCTCACGAGCAAGGAAGTAGCGGAGAGCAATGTGCTTCGTTCTGTGCTCCAGGCGCTGCTCCCGACACAAGGCCAGCATGGCCTTGTTGTCTACGTACAGAACTGGAGGAGAACGAGGCGGCTCTCCAAGGTCAGTCAGCAGGTAGGTGAGCCAGCGTAGCTCCTGTGCAGCCATGGCCCCGGCATAGATCTCAGCCTCACAACTGGAGCTGAGGACAGAAGACGAGCGAGTAGCCCGCCACGAGACAGAGCCGGAACCAAGACTGAAGGTGTAACCCTGTGACGACCGCTGCGTAGCCTGGTCGTCAGCCCAAGAAGCGTCCGCGTGCCCCGTAAGGACCACTGGACTCCGCCCTCCAAGCAATAGCCCCATGCCCAACGTACTGCACAGGTAGCGCAACACCCTCTTCGCTGCAGCCATGTGCTCTGGTCGGTGTCTCCCAGGAGCAACATAGCGTGCAAGAATGCTAAGAGGGTATGCAAGGTCAGGTCGTGTGCAGGTCATCAGGTACATGAGGCAGCCAACAAGCTCTGGGTACGTGCCACTCGACTCTACGGACTCATCCGAAGGCAGAGCTGAGAGCGAGTGGCGAGTAGACAGAGGAGTGGCCTGAGGCGAGGAGTACGTGAAGCCGAAGCGCTGAAGGACCTGCTGCACCATGTGTGACTGAGTCAAGGTAATGGTGCGGCGTGCTCTGTCCCGAGTGATCTGCAAGCCAAGATAGCTGCGCAGTTCACCCAGGTCTGTGCATGTGTGTCTCTTCAGCAGCTCGGACTTCACGTAGGCGAGTCTAGCAGTGTCAGCTGTGGCAAAGACCAAGTCGTCGACGTACACGAGGATGTAGAACGGCGGCAGAGAAGTGTCGGTGCGCAGAAACAGCAAAGGGTCAGCAGTAGAGGGAGCAAACCCAAGAGCCGCAAGCGTAGTCCTCAGTGTGTCGTGCCACTCACGCGGTGCCTGGCGGAGACCGTAGACTGGCCGTCGGAGGCTCCACTGGGTGCCAGGAGGGAAAGTCCCAGTGAAGCCAGGTGGACGGCGCAGCCAGATCTCCTCGTGCAGGCTACCCTGCAAGAAAGCAGTGCTGAAGTCAAGAGAGTGGAGCTCGTAGTCGCGCTGAGCGGCTATGTGCAGCAGCACCCGAAGAGTAGTCATCTTCGGGGTGGGAGAGAAGGTCTGAAAGTAGTCAACTCCCTGCCGCTGACTGAAGCCACGAGCAACGTACCGCGCCTTGAAGACAGGTGGAGAGCCCGGCGGCCGCTTCACCCTGAAGATCCACATGCCACTGACGATGTTCGTCCCAGGAGGGGGAACCGCGTCAACGTAGGTGCCTGTGGACTTCCAGGAAGCCATCTCTGCATCCATAGCTGCCTGCCACTGAGAGGAGTAGGGACCCTCTACGGCCTCCGCGTAAGAGCGCGGAGTCGGGATGTCTAGTGCATCCGGGTCTCCCTTAGAGGCAAGCAGTACAGACGCGAGATGAGGTGAAGCAGTAGCCAGACACTGGAACTCCTCCTGCCTGTCCTCAAGGACGTCCGTGCCAAGAGCACACTCACCCCCGACGGACGGAGGACAGACAGACGCAGACTCAGCAACAAGACTGGCAGTGTAGTCTAGACGACAGCGAGCAGCAAAGTCGACGAGCTCAGCAACAAGCGCAGACGCAGCAGCGGACTCAAACGAGGGGTCAGTGACGACAGTAGCAAGGAGCCGCGTGACAGTAGGACTGGCAGTACGAAGAGAGTCTGACTCCGGGTCAGCAAGCTCAGGAAGAGAGGACGCAGGAGGAGAAGGCAAAGGGGCACGCAGAGGAGTAGTGGACGGACGCAGAGACATCCGGTGCGTGCCAGGGACAGGAGGAGGACGCTGAAGCAAACCGCGACCACTAGTGCGAGCAGCACGAACAGGCGACGCGGGACGAGACGCAGGCTCACGACGCTCAGCAAGACCTCCAGTAGGACCAGTGTAAGGAGAGGGAGCCGGAAGTGGGGAGGCGGGCTCTAACTGTGACGGTGACTGGACAGGCGGTGGACACTCTACAGGAGGAGAAAGACCAAGAACCTGCTGCAGGAGTGGAACGAAGTACGGCCGAGGCCGCGCGGCGACTCCAGACACAGCAGGGACAGCACCAGCACCCTCAGCACCTCCGGCAGCACCAGCGCCAACAGCACCTCCAGCGGCAGGACCTCCAGTAGCACCAGCAGCAGGACCACCGTCAGGACAGACAGCAGCAGTCTCAGCACCAGCACCCTCAGCAGCGCCAGCTCCAGTAGGACCTGCAGGCCCAACAGCCCCGGGACCGGCGGCACCAGCACCCTCAGCGGCCGAAGAAGCTCCAGCTCCAGCAGCACGCCTCCAGTGGCGAGCAAACCACTCGCGCAGCTCCTGTGGAGAGAGTGGCTCCCGCCGAGACGGAGCACCCAGAGAACCTCCAGGCCCAGCACCGCCAGACGCCACAAGGGGAGGTCCAGCGGCCGCAGGCTCCGCACCTCCAGGCCCAGCAGCCCCAGACGCAGCACCTCCAGGCTCAGCAGCTCCTGACAAAGCACTCCTAGACTCAGCACCCCAGGGCTCAGCAGCTCCAGACGCAGCACCCCCAGGCTCAGCAGCTCCCGACGTAGTACCCCCAGACTCAGCAGCCCTAGGCTCAGCACCCCCAGTCGCAGTACCCCTAGGCTCAGCACCCCCAGGCGTAGCACCCCCAGTCTCAGCACCCCCAGGCGCAGCACCCACGCGCAGGGCACCCCCAGAGTCAGCACCCCCAGGCTCAGCACCCGCAGCAGTACCTGAGTCACCAGCAACCTTGACCGGCTCGACTGCGTCAACCTGGGACACACCAGAAGGGGCAGGACCCTGAGGGGGAAGGGGGTCTACCGGGGGGGGACCTGGCACAAGGAAGTGTGGCGGTGGGGGAAGGGAAGGAGTGCGGTAGGGGAAGAGACGGTAGAAGGGGACCGGCTTGTCGAAAGTGACGTCCTGGGAGGACAGAACACGACGAGAGGAGGGGTGGTAGAACTGCCACCCTGGGGCGTCAGAGGGGAAGCCCAGGAAGACACAGGGAGCAGCACGAGGGGACAGCTTGTCCGCAGACAAGTCGCGGACAAACGCCCGAGATCCCCAGACACGGAACGCAGACGCATCGCCGACCTTCCCCGTCCACAGCAGAGCTGGGGAGGTCTCCGGCCGGGAGACCCTGCGGTGAAGGTTGAGCTGATGCGCCGCGTACCGAACCGCAAACGGCCACAGAAAATGGGGGGCAGCCGCATGCATCATGGACGTACGAGCGACGTCCATGACCATGCCAATGCGGCGCTCAGCAATCCCATTTTGCTGTGGAGAGTCCGGAAGCGTAAAGGTCTGGCGGATCCCCCGTGCACGACAGTAGGCCCGCAGAAGGCCAGAGGAGAACTCCCCACCTCGGTCAGAGTGCAGACGCAGAACAGGATAGTCCGAGCCGAAGCTCCTCCTGAGCTAGAGACGAGCTGCGCGGATCCAGTCGATCAGCACCTCAGTGACATCACCCTTGCTGCGCAAGGGGAAGACTGTGGTGTAACGCGAGTAGTCGTCAACCACCAGCAGGAAGTAGCGCTCGTGACCCTGCCCACGGACGCGGGCCGGGCCCCACACGTCCATGTGAAGTGTCTGCAGAGGAGCCTCTGTCGTGGGAAACTGGGAGGAGTGAGGAGCAGCCCGGAGGCGCCCCTCGACACAGGGGACACAGGAAGGTCCTGGTCCCGAAGGAAGGGGAGGGAGAGACCGGGGGAGACCACAGGAGAGTCTCGTGAGACAGGAGGCGACACGAACAGGGGGCAGACTCAGGAGCAGACCGGGACGCAGCAGCAAACACCTGACCTGACGCAGCTACCTGGCCAGACGCAGGGACAGGAGGAGACTCAGTGGTCAGGGTGTAGAGGCTCGACCCTGGCCGACGCGAGAACGTGGCCAGGTGCCGGCCTGTGCGTGCGTCCGTGCAGTGGGTCACCCGCTGACTCGCAGGAGTAAACTGGTGAACCCCCGCATCCTGCAGGTCAGCACCACTCACCAAGTTCGTAGAGAACGAGGGGAGGTACAGACCAGACAGGGTGCCCGAGGGGGCAGCCGGACACGGGAGGACAGTGGAGAAATGAGAGAGGACAGGACCCCCAGAGGGGTCAGCCAGGGAGACTGCAACCGGCCGACCAAGCGGCGTGAGTGTGGTGCGGTCTCAAAAGAAGGAGCGAGAAGCCCCTGAGTCAAGTGTGAAAGTGAGGGAGGCCGAAGCCGACGCAGTACCTGGGAGCGCAGCCTCACCAGTACCTGAGAGCGCAGACGCACTGGCACCTAGAGCAGCAGCCTCACAAGCACCTAACGCAGCAGTACCAATGCCCGGGTCGGGCGGGAAACACCGGTAACAGTCACCCTCCTCACTAATAGTCACAGCATACATGGCAGCAAGGATAGCATCAAAGTCAAGATCAAAGATAGCTACACCAGCCCTAGACAGCTCTCCCCAGCGGGGAATCTCACTAGCCTCTGGGAACTGCTGACGCCAAGCGTCCGTCAGGCGGCCAAAGCAGCGCTGGGTGGGGTGGGCACCCCCACACTGCTCACCCGCGCGGTCGCCGGAACGAAGGACGTAGGCGCACGGACCAGTACCCCCACCCCTCTGACGCTGCGTGTACCACTCACGGAGTTGCAGGGGCGGGGGGATGTCCCGCGAACGCTGCTGCTGCTGCTGCTGCTGGCGCTGACCACTACCAGAGCCGCTCCGCTGCGGGGCACCACCCCGACCAGCTCCACCCCCTCCGCCACCGCCGCCTCCACCTCCGCCACCACCGCCGCCTCCACTCCCACCGCTGCCGCCGCCACCGCCGCCTCCTCCGCCGCTGCCACCACCACCACCGCCTCCGCCACTACTCCCACCGCCACCCCCACTCCCTCCGCCGCCTCCACCGCCACCTCCACCGCCCCCTCCAGTTCCACCCGCGCCCTTGCCCCCCTTGCCCTTGCCAGGGCGGCGTCTCCCGCTAGGGGCAAACGCCGCGCCGACCGACTCAAGACCAAGCAGGTCGGCAGTAGCAGCAGAGGTAACAGAGGGTAGTAGGGGGGAAGGAGAACACCCCTCAAAGATGGGGGTGCGAGGGTCACCACGAGAGGCTCCGACAGCGACGATGCTCTTCTCCGCCGCTAGGAGGGCCTTCTCGAGGAGGTCGACAGTGAGAGTGGTGGGACAGACTGAGAGGAAGTGGTCCCTGACTACGCGAAGGGAGTCAGGGAGGCGTGTGACTATGTAGTAGAGAGTGATGTACATGGGGGGGGGGTTCTTGGCGCAGAACTCAGCAGGAAGGGCGGCGCGGTAGCGAGTGTCACTAGTGCGGAGGTGCGTAAGGAGGTCAGCGACAGTGGGAAAGGCAGTGAGATCAGGAAAGAGGTACGGTAGCATGAGACGGCTCAGTGCAGCAGTGGCAGGGGAAGAGTAGCGCGCAACTACAGCGTCATACAAGGTCTGAGCACTCTTGTACTGACCAAAGTGCGTGCGCTCAGTGGTGGGCAAGTGGCGACGCACAGCAAGACGTGCAGCAGCATCGCGGGTGGCCCACTGAGAGCGAACAGCGGGGTCAGCATCAGCAGCAGGGGCAGGAGAGGCGCCAGAGGTGAGGTCAAAGAGGGAAAGGCCGTCCGCCTTATCGCACTGTAAGAACAGCTGCAGGTCGTCGACCCAGACCTCAAAGTCAATGGCTCGACCCTCAGCGTCAAAAGCGAGGACACTAGGGGTAGCCATGACGACGACAGTGGAGCAGTGCAAGCAGTAGGGGAAGGGCACGCAGTGACAGCGGTACGGTGCTCACCGGGCAGGGCAGGTCGGGCGGCTCGGCAGGAGGGCGGCTTGGCGACTCGGCGGCTCGGCTGCTGGGCGGCTCGGCTCCCGGGCGGCTCGGCGGCAGGGCGGCTTGGGTGCCGGGCGGCTCGAGTGCAGGGCGGCTCGGGGGCGGGGCGGCTCGGCTGCCGGGCGGCTCGGGTGCGGGGCGGCTCGGCTGCACTGCGGCTCGGTGGTCCGGCGGTGGGGCGGCTGCTGCTGGGCGACTCGGCTGCTCCGGTACCGGGCGGCGTGGCGGTCGTCTGCGTGGGCGGCGGGGCCGCGTAGGTGAGGGCGGCGAGGCCGCGTAGGTGAAGGTGGCGGGGCCGCGTAGGTGAAGGCGGCGGGGCCGCTCAGGTGAAGGCGGCGGGGCCGCGTTGGTGAGGGCGGCGGGGCCGCGTAGGAGAGGGCGGCGAGGCCGCACAGCTCAGGGCGGCGAGGCCGCGATAGGAGGGCGGCGGGGCCGCAAGAGCAGAGCAACGGGGCCGCGATGTAAGGGCGGCGGGGCCGCGACCGCAGGGCGACGGGGCCGCTATCAAAGGGCGGCGGGGCCGCGATGTAAGGGCGGCGGGGCCGCGACGTAAGGGCGGCGGGGCCGCGAGAGCAGGGGCGGCGGGGCCGCGATGTAAGGGCGGCGGGGCCGCGACGTAAGGGCGGCGGGGCCGCGACAGCAGGGCGACGGGGCCGCGAGGTAAGGGCGGCGGGGCCGCGAGAGCAGGGGCGGCGGGGCCGCGATCAAAGGGCGGCGGGGCCGCGAGAGCAGGGGCGGCGGGGCCGCGATGTAAGGGCGGCGGGGCCGCGAGGTAAGGGCGACGGGGCCGCGATTAAGGGGCGGCGGGGCCGCGATCGCAGGGTCGGCCGCTAGGGCGGCTCGGTAAGAGAATGGCCCGAGGCGCGACTCGGGATGAGTGCACTTCGGGCAGGAAAAAAAAATCGAGTGGTGGGCCCTAGGCGCAGTTCCCACAGGGGAACCTCCTCGATACCATGAGAAGAATAGAACGAGAATGAATGAACTATGAATGAAGTGAGTACATATAGGAAACCCTAATTGGGTTGTACCCCCTATGGGATACCCCACTATAGCCTACACAACAGCATAAGCTATATAACGTTCTGACATGAAGTAATCTGATTGGCTCACACCAATCTGAAAAAATTGGCTCCCGCCAAAATGATTTTCGAGGTTCATATCAGCTGTCGCATACGTGCGTGCTGCATCCGCACGACCGTTCCCTGGCGATGCTTTTCCGTCGCCAGGCCCAACTCCAATTTCAAGCTGGTCCTGGGTTCATCACCCACTTCCTCTAGTCACTAGTTTATTCACATAGCAGAGTGAGAACTAATCATTCCAGCTTTCTGCCTAACATTGAGTAGCTTAGGACCTCGACAATTTCCGACTAGGCGCGTAGTCATGAACTTCGCGCTTCTGCGTAATACATCTTGTATTAGCGCATTGTGTTTCCAAGCCTCGCGCAATCATCGCGTTGCGTTTCCCGGTCGCCTTCCTCTCTCGCGCATCGCCTATCAGTCTCCTGTCGCCTTCGCGCTCTCTCTCCCGTCGCCTATCGCACTCTCTCTCCCGTCGCCTCCGCGCTCTCTCTCCCGTCGCCTCCGCGCTCTCTCTCCCGTCGCCTTTTCGCTCTCTCTCCCGTCGCCTTCGCGCTCTCTCTCCCATCGCCTTCGCGCTCTCTCTCCCATTGCCTTCGCGCCAATCTCCCCTCCCATCCCGTCCACTTCATCTCCTATCGCTCACGTCCTCCCCTCCCATCCCGTCGTTCGCTTCTTTTCCCCTCCCATCCCGTCGTTCGCTTCCTTTCCCCTCCCATCCCGTCGTTCGCTTCCTTTCCCCTCCCATCCCGTCGTTCGCCTCCTTTCCCCTCCCATCCCGTCGTTCGCTTCCTTTCCCCTCCCATCTCGTCGTTCGCTTCCTTTCCCCTCCCATCCCGTCGTTTGCTTCCTTTCCCCTCCCATCCCGTCGTTCGCCTCCTCCCCCCTCCCATCCCGTCGTTCGCCTCCTCTCCTCTCCCATCCCGTCGTTCGCTTCCTTCCCCTCCCATCCCGTCGTTCGCCTCCTCTCTCCCTCCCTTCCGTAGTTCTTCACGGTCTCCCCTCCTTGACAAAATTAGAAGAAAGAAAGAGGGCTTGACTAGCAAGAATGGGGATACAAATAGCAAACCCTAACAGGGTTGTACTCGCTATAGAGCACCCCACTACAGGCTAGATAAGAACATTCTGACACACCCCCATAGCCAAAGTGGGGTGTAATCAGCAGAGCAAGCAAAGCAGTACAAGCTCAGGGTGGATCACAATGTCACCACACATTCTGAGCACAAGTTCAAGAAGCAATAGTTTAAAGTTAAAAAATTATGAGCAAAGCTAGAGGCTATCGCAGAGGGCAAGTGAGGAGGAGGAGGCGAGAGTGAGAGGAAAGGAGATAGGAGGCGACGGATGAAGCTGCAGACACACGGGCAACAGGAGGCACACTGGCACAGCGGCTACCGGACGAAGCCCCCGGACTACAGGGGTAACTGGCCCCGTGGCTAAAGTAGCGGCAGACGAGCAACGGACCCACGGGCGGCTGGCACAGCTGGCTACGAGTGAGCTACCGGACGAAGCCCCCGGACTACAGGTGCTGCTAGCGACACAGCGGCATCCTTCATTCAGCTCCCCAAACAGTCTCACCCCCCCTTGCACACACCCCCTACTGCACCCCTAGGGTCACTGACACCCCACCCCCTAGCACGACTCCAGCGACTCCCACACACCCACCCCCCTCAACGGCAGCTGCAGCAGTGGGAGACAGAGGAGGAGGAGGAGCAGGGGAGACCACACACCCGCCACCCCCATACTCGCCATCCCCTACTCGCCACTCCCCAAACCCTAACTCAGGCAGGGCGGGATGGCGGGTAGGGAGGTTACGGGGGAGGGGGAGGGGGGGGGGGGGGGGGGGACCGACGCGCGGCCGCCCAGGGCGCCAAGACAGGCAGCAGAAGGGGGGGGGGGGGGGGGGGGGGGGGGGCGGCGCTCGCCCCCCTCCCCCAGGTAAGTCCTCCCGTCGCCTGTCAAGGCGGGGCAGCGGCGCACGGGCGTCGACGAGCCGGGGCAGCGGCGCACGGGCGTCGACGGGCCGGGGCTGGCGGTGCACGGGCGGCGACGGGCCGGGGCAGCGACGCACGGGCGTCGACGAGCCGGGGCAGCGGCGCACGGGCGTCGACGGGCCGGCGCGCGGGTCCCCGTTGCACGTCGCAGCGCCTCCCGAGGGCGACGCGCCGAGCGACGAGGCAGAAGCCCGCCGCGCGCCTCGGGGCGCACAGCGGGCAGAGAACCGCCGCGCGCCTCGGGGCGCACGGCGGGCAGAAAACCGCCGCGGGCCTCGGGGCGCACGGCGGGAAGAAAAACTGCCGCACGCCACGGGGCGTGCGGCACAGAGAGTAGGAGTGGAGGTTGCAGCGGAAGCAACGAGGTGGTGGTAACCCACCCACAGGATCGATCCAAGGGGATCGACCTGCTCTGATAGCATGACAAAATTAGAAGAAAGAAAGAGGGCTTGACTAGCAAGAATGGGGATACAAATAGCAAACCCTAACAGGGTTGTACTAGCTATAGAGCACCCCACTACAGGCTAGATAAGAACATTCTGACACTCCCATCCCGTTGTTCCCCTCTCTCTCTCTCCCTATTTTTTTACCTCTCTCAACCTCAAGCCCAAGGAACCCTTTTTCTCGCAGCTCTTCCATTCGTCGGCCAACATTCACTCCCAAATCGTGCATATGTGTTTGCTGAGTTGTGCCTGTGCTGTTGATTGTTGTGAGTTTTGTTGAAGTTACGATGACTGCTCGAATAAGTACAGGCCTTGCAACCTTGCGCCAAATTCGCACATGTATATGTGTGAGTTGTGTGTGAGTTTCGCCGCCAATCAGAAATGTAAACAGGTTCCAAATGTTCCCCGTTCATATCGAGACTTGTCTGGAGTGAAATAATAAAAACGTACAGCACTTCCAACTTTCCGAGACGTCCCAAAAAAACTTCTGTTTTCAAGTGGACCCAACTAGAAAGGAGGGGGTCACTATTTTAGCTGTTGGCTTTAAAGCGAGGACGATTGACTTTGCACGGAGTACAGTATTTACCTGGGTAATTGACCCGGGGGTCTAATCCTACCCCGAAAAAAAAGGGGGGGTGGGGCCATTAGCTGGGTGTAAATGGATTAGACCCCGGGTCTAATCCTAGATGCATGTTTTTCATAGTCAAGTCAAACACCCTAGTGTTACAGCATCAAAAGCCATCACCTTCATATTGAATCAGCGAAATATTAACCATGCGTCTGACGCGGGTCTGACGCGCGACTGACGCATGGTCAATATGCTCCAATCAACTTGACCAGTTCCTCGCTACGGTTTGACCTGAAATTGGTTAGGGGGGTCTAACATGGGATACATTTCCCAGAGGGGGGTTTATTTCGAAAGTGCATATAGCATTAGACCCCCTACCATTTAACGACCCGGGGGTCTATTATTTTGGGGGGTTGTAAGGAAATTCCCTTTTCCTTACTTCGCGTCCCTGCTCAACGCGTACATCACTGTAGCACCTCAGTCAGCACCGTTACCACTCGCGACCATCGCATCATTCATCATCCCGCCCTTTTCGCACATCGCATCCCGACCTCACGGCTCGGCTGGTAACCCGCGCTCCGGGCCTACGCTTCGACACTTTCCCAACCTCAGTCCCAGGCTCGTCGCGCGACCATTACCGTTACCACTATAGTTTCGCTATATAATGTTCGCTCATGCCTTCGCTCATTTGTATTCTTGCCTCGATAGTGCAATTCTCGTTCGTTCACTCAATTGCACTCGTAACACTTGGTATTCAGAGCCTACGATCTCATCTCAGACCGCATCCACACCTTCGCTTCCCACTATCTCAATTTT